TCCAAGCTTGGAAGTATGGGGGCCCCTAGTACGGATCCCTAGGCCGTTTTGAGGGGTTCTAGGGACCCTTGAGAGTCTATATAGGGTATATAGTAGGTATATAAGGATTCAAGGTTGTTGTGGTGGTATTCGGCTGTTTTTTGAGGGGATTTTTAGGCTCTGGGGTTCGCTTTCCGGGGGTTAGGGTTGTTAAGGAGCTCAGAACTACTGTGTTCGCCGCCCCTTGCTCTCGGTTTATCTCTTTTTGTTTGTTTCCTGTGTGTGGATGTGTTTCCGGGTGGTTGTCTGCATGCATTTTGCTTGTCACGCAACTTATCACACGAGTGAAGTTTTGGAAGTGTAGGTGCCTCTCTCTCTCTCTCTCTCTCTGTGTCTGTGTCGCTGTGTATGCATACGCGCATGTGTCTGTGCTCAGCATCTTGAGGCCGAGAGTTCAGACTTCTCTAGAAAGTTGTTTAGCTCTGACGCCTATCAGGTTCTATCGCCGGCGTGAAGCGGAGCTGAAGAACGGGCGCGTGGCAATGTATGCCACTATAGGACCGGCTGGCGGGGCAATTGTAAGGTTGCTTGAATATGGGATTTTCCGAAAGTTAGGGAGAATTACCTTATTTGGGGGTCCTTTCAATAAGGATCCTGCTAAACAGGGTCCCGATTTTCGGAAATCCCCCTATAGCAGATCACAGGGTCCGTGTTTACGACTGAAGATTTTGGGTGAAGATTGTGTTAAAAAGGAAGTGTGTAGAACGCCACGGTTCCAACTACCCCACAACCCTCTCTCTTCAAGGACCTTAATGTCGCGATGTTGTTGACGACCTTTCTGAAGGAAGAGACTTTGCTAGTAAGAGGACTACAGGCCTACAGTACTGAAGAGGGTTCACTTGGGGATGCTAGCACATCTTCTATGAGAAACTTGCAATTTACTTTAAGTTCGCACAGATGTTCGCAATGTCGGTTTACAAGTTTAAACGCCTACATAGGCTTACTTAAACGCCTACATAGGCTTACCCTAGACCCCAAACGTGTTTGGGGTCCTGAGCCCGCCATCTCAGACCCCAAAGCCCGAACCTGAACCTTAAATCCCGGATCTCAGAACCCTGGTCTCTATATGAAACCTTCTGTCTATGAGACCAGAGACTCCCGAACCCTTCACGAAACGACCTATCCACAGGGAGATAGAAGTGATCATTGCTGATTTGCTAATGTATACCTCGAAGTTTGGGAAGCTCTCAACAACTCGCATTTTTGTGCGTAAGTGCATCGCTGAATCTCAGGCTCAACCGGGCCAAGTGCTGCACATGAACCATCGTACGTGTAGTGTCCAGTGTAGCTCGTTTTTGGTGAACCAGCTTCTATAGTATAGGTTCCTTCTGGATGCTATAGTTAGCTAGCTGTGAAGGTTAACCAACAACAGGAACTACAACGGATACTATAGGTAAGCCGGCCTAATTTCGAACGACGGACCTTTGTCATCATCTCCATATGTGGCCTGGACAGCTTCAACCAGCCTGAAACTCTAAAGTCCGTACATGCAGTTGAGCCGAGAACTAGCACACAACTCAAGCCACCAAACCAGTCCTTCAGCACCTCTACAGTGCCGGAAGCCCCAAAACAACCCTTCAACAGCAAGCTCTTCAGGATATATCATTCCGGAATACTTCCGCTTTCCGGGCTATCTGGCTCCATCAGAGGCCGTTTGACTGGTTTGCGCAGAAAGGGTGCAGTGATGGCTTGAGCGTTTTGGCTTGAAGGTACGTTCACGGTTAGGTTCTTACAACAAGAGCCGAACAAGTTACTCTAATCCAGGGTCTCTGTCGTGAGCTCCGAGGATTTTCTTCCGCGCAGAGTTCAGGACTAGACTTGAGTCTGGCAATCTGCTTGGAATGAAACAGAGTTCTCGTCTTAGTGGCTCGACAAAAAGAGTTGTAGGGCCTGTGGGGCACCAAAAGCCTAGCCCAATCCTAGGTCCCTGAGTAGTACCCTTCTGCCCTTTCTGTTTTTGGGTCCCTTATTCAAAGCGACTAGCAAGAAAACGGGACCCTTAGTATAAAGGGTGGCTACGGAGGAACCTCATCATGGCCCCTAAGAAAGAGATCCTACATGCTACTATAACAGGTAGCTAGACCCTTTGGGAAGTTCATGGGAGGCCCGGGTTTGGGGTATAATTATAAGTAAAGGCGCATGGGACTTAGTAAGTAAGGTTATAAGTAGGTTATAAATAGGATACCCCCACTTAGGGGACTTATAACCCCAATTATAACCTATTCACTAAGTCCCATGATCCTTTAAGTAGTGTTCACGGATGAGGGTGAAAAAGGCATTTGAGGCCAGAGGCCCGGTACAGTAGATGCGTCGAAGTGAATCCAATGTTGGAAGTTGCAACACCCGGCTGTTCCTACTTCCATGGTTTCCCGTTGAAGCATTGTCGGATATCTGAATTTCTCGGTCCTCTTGCCCATGTAGCGTGGTTGTAGGATATTGTGCTATACTCCGACTGGTTTTGCTGCGTGAAGCCATTATATACTTCGACTCGCTAGGATGCAGCTCTTTGGGACAAGATGGGTGCTGGGCTGTGTATTTAGATGTTGCCGGCTCCTGCACAGGACGTCCTCTTCGAAGACGTGCCCAATGGCTTGCGGGCTCTTGGCAAGGCGATTTCCCCTTCAGGTGTCAGAGTGCTGGGTGTAGGCCGGTTATTAGTTCCCACCTGGGTGTTTATTAGGGCTCTGTATATGAACCAAAATATGTTGGGGTTCTGGGGCCACGGTCTCGCAATCAGGTTCCTACTACCTAGACCAAAACCCTAGACCCCAAGCCACTTTGGTTCCCACATTATTTGGCATGCGCTTTTCGAGCAATGTGCCTACTAAGAACCCTTTTGGCCAACTTTGGCCTCTAAATAGCTATGTAGCTGTACGTTTTTGCTACGGAAGCCCCGGTTGAGGGTTGAGGATTTAAGGTTCACTCTGCTTGTTGCTGTTTAGGGATTTTCGGCTTTATGTCTGTGTGTGATGCAAGGCAAATATTGGGAGGTACAAGGTGTGGCGTTGTCAATGACAAGGTGACGCCTTCGGTCCGAGATTCAGAGGTTTGGGGATCTCCAGCTCGGGGCTTCGGGTTTGAGGTTAATGGTTTGGGGCCTAGACGGTTCAGGGCTTCATTAAGGCGTGCGATAGCGATTGCGGGCTTTGTCATCTGTGATTCAAAAGGCATGGCTCTTATCAGGATTTCAATGCAGTGCTCATACTGACGCATACTTCCTCCGCACACAGTCCATATCACGTTAGGGCTGTCGCGCATGCATTCCCACTACAATACATCAAATCCTGAGCACCTGACACTTCGCAAAAGGACCATCTGTGGCCTAAATCGGGTTTAAGGTTTATGGCTTTCATCCTAAACCTACGACGCCCTACGCCCCAATCTTTCAAACCAAGCCCTGAAACCTCCATCTATAGTCTCCTTAGGATTTCGTATTTTTTTGTTCATATATATATATATATTATATTATATATTATATATAACCCAAGAGAATATTGAGCATACCATTGATCTTATGGTTCTAAGGGGGGTATATAATAGCCATTACCCGAATCCGAATCCCAATCCAGACCCCAATTCTTAAATCCCTCTACCAATAACCGCTAACCTCCTCAGAGCCTAAAGCCCTAAACCCTAAACTCTAAATTCTCAAACGGGTTGTCAAAATTATGGTCCCTTCTTGGATCCCTAACATATTACGGCACCTAGTATTTAGGGTACCCAAAAGGGACCCGAATTTTGACAACCGCCCAAATCCCTATGCCAATACTATCACCCCTAAACTTCTCAGAACCCAAAGCCCGATTCCTGGTCTGCCTTTCTCCTCGAACGAACCACTTAAAGGATCATCGGACTCGGACTTAGCAATTGGGGCTACAAGCTAGGTAATTACAGTTATAATTACTTATAACCCCCGATTAAGGTACCTATAACCCTACTTACCAGGTCCCATGATCCTCCAAGCAGGTGCCTCCAGAAGGATGGCTTCAAATCATCGTTTGTCCCTCAGTGTTTGTTCTGCAAGCAACAGCTACCCTACCATCTATCGCTATATCAATGCATCTATGTATATCTATATCTGTGTCTATATCCATATGTATATCTTCATCCATATCTTCGTATGTATCTATTTCTATATTTATACATGTACTTCTATTTCTTTTGCTGGATATGCTACTACTGCCAGCAGGAGGCTATCGTGGCTGCTCACCTCGGTGGGTAGACTTGCATGCCCCTGCACATACTTGTGTGTACGTGTATTTGCCTGTTTAAACTTGTACTACTTATACTACTTATATTACTACCACTACTGCTGCCGCTGCTACTACTACGACTACTGCTACTACCACTACTGCCACTACTAGTTGTTCTTCGTCTAACACTACCACCATCATCAAACTAGCTCATACTGTACACACCATTTGGTATACGTGCATGCACATGAGGACGTGCGACATAGAGCAGGCAGTCCAATTGGCATTATTGTTTCTAAATTGACTAACAGCAGTCCTTCACCACGATTTACATGAATTGTAGCCGCACTGCCGCTTGACGATGGAGCGGACTGCAACTTTCAGCATCGCACCTCTGAGGCGGAGAACAGCCGAAACCTATAGCGTCAACGCCTCGTTTACGGTTTGGGATGGTGCAGAGTTTAGGGCTTTGGGTTTAGGATAGTAGGGGCTCCGGGTGGGATATGAAGACCTTGCAATTCAACCGGAAACGCTGAGTTCAAGCCCGACAGGTAATCCCTAAAACCCCGGACCATTCATTCCCGCAGCCCGAGGTCCTAACCGAAGCCCCGCATGTCCTGCAGCATAACCCTGCAGCACCCTTACAAATCCCATTTGGTACGCAGAACCTTGGTAGGACCCCTGTAAGCCCCAAAGCCACACATGAAGAAGCTTTCGAACAAAGCAAAGCCTAAACTGGCCCTAAACCCTTTTTACAAGAAGCAAATCATGGCTTTGTCGGATTACTCGCTCGCCACCCTGCGCTTCGTCTACACATCGAAGCTGCGACGCGAGCTGCTGGGATGCAACTTCGGCGTTTAGGGTTTTAACGGTTTGCAGCTTTGGTTTTAGAGTCCGGGCCCCGGCGTACCTATCACGTTTGCTTGTAGTATAGGCCCAAAATACGGGGACAAGAAAGCCAATACTCTGGGTAAGCTGGGTGACCTAAAACCCTAAACTCTTAACCCTAAACCCTAAACCGCTTAAGCCCTAAACGATAAGTTACGGCCAAAGACGAAGAGTCGGAACCAGACCGAAGCCCGTGGACCCTAGATTCCAAGGCCTATGCCCAATGGAATAAACACCAATCCGTAAGCCCAATTCCTAAAATCCTCAATCCTAAACCATCATCCCGAAATCCGTAGGATCCTAAAAATTACACCCTACACCCTAATCCTGAACCCCAAGCCCGAAATCCCACTCCCTGCAGCCGAAAAGCTTGTTTCAATCCAAGGGTAAAAGGAGGGACCCTTAATAAGGACCCCTAGGTATATACCCTTAATATAGCTATTATATACCCATTATATAGCCTTATTATAGGGTAGGGGTCCCCATTAAGGGTCCCTCCTTTTCCCCCTTGATTCAAGGCTTCAGTTCTCCATCACCAACCTCCGTAAAACTCTGGAGTGGTCGGACGAGGCTCTCCGAGACTTCACGAACTGTACCAGGACCTAGAGTAGGCCCTTATTCCCTTTTTGTAGGGTTCAGGTTCCCTTATAAGCCCCTTTAAACCAAAAAGGGCACCCTTTTTATTACCAGGTTACTCCTGGGTCTAGTGTAAGGTTTCAGTTTTGGGTTTCAGTGTTTGTGGTTCAGCCATTGGGATTCAGACATGCTGTTTAGGCGTTTTAGGTGTTAAGGTTAATTGGCTATGATTGAGTTTCGTGTTTTTGTTCGGGGTATTTGATTTCTTGTTTAGTTTTTTTCCAGAATTTGCATGCGTTGCTTATCCCTACGGGAGGAGAGCAAGCCCTTTATCTAAAGATGATTGAAGGCACGTTCTCGGGTTCGGTGACGCGTTAGGGTCAGGGTTCAGGGAGTTTGGGCGGGGGGCTTCAGATTGGCTTGGGGGCTTGGGGGCTAAGGGCTTTAAGGCGTTTGCGGTTTTTAATTCAAGCATTGTTTAGGGGTTTGGCTTTGCAGAATATAGGGAGGTCAAGTTTATGCATGGTTTGGGTCAGGGTTTCAACCATCGGCACTTTACGAGTCAAGGCCTTTGGTACAAGTACTTGCGCGCTTTTTTGCGAGCCAAGGCCTTTGGTACATGTAGTTCCTCTCATGAACGTCGAAATGTCGAATCGTGCAGTGTTAGCCCTACCCCCAAATCATTAATATAATCATAAACAGTATCAGTTTCAATACTGCAGCATGTAATAACAGGCGAGTCCTACTGCACAAATTCTCCCAAAACAGCCAAAAAGCAACGTCGACCTGAACTTTCGGCTGGCTCTCAGGGACACCTAAACCCTAAGCCCAAAACCGTCTTCCCCTGTGAGACCTGGCCGGTACCACAACGACTGCCACGGAGGGCCTGGCGGGTGCACCTTGGTCGGCAGTAGGCTTTGGTGGTTTGGGTTTTTTTTGTAATGTAGGGGTGGTGATAAATAGCCTCAATCCTGAGGAGTAATGTTTAGGGAATCCCAGCACTACTTGGCCTTAATCCGGTTTCCAACTTTCTGGTTGGGTGCTTAGGGTCAACCTAACTCTAAACCCCAAACGCTAGTGAATCCCGAACGCCTACACCCTTATTAACCCTTCCAAAACCTCTGCATGACCAAGGGATAGCACTCTTAGATCTTCAAGCCAGCTACCAGAAACAAGGAACCCAAAAGGACATGAGAGTTTACCAGGGGTTCAGGGTTTAGGGTATTTGGTGTAGGGTTTATGAGAGTTTACGAAGGGTGTGGATATCATATTGCGGTCCGAACTACAAGAACCCTGATTTGCGATCTCTACTTCTGCCGTAGCTTCTACATTATTCCCGGTGCTTGCCTGGAATTCCCAGCGATCCTCTACCATGCCCTTCTGTTAAGCCTTAACCCTAAGCACTAGACCCTTCTGCAAGCCTGCGATGCCAAGTTATTTTTGTAGACGGCGCTGGAATCGCGTGAACCGCTGGCGGGGACTGTTGGGGTTTAAAGCCAAACACAGCAACTCTACCCGAACAATGCCAAGGTCCTATCTGAAATTGCCCTTCCGAGCCAAGATAAATATCCGCTCCGACCCCAGACACCGGAGACAGGGTATTGGGGTTCAGGGTTTAGCTTGGAGGGTTCAGCGCCAGGGTTTGGAATCACATGTATGAGTTTTATCGGGGTAAAGGTTAAAGAGGTTGTCTTTCTGGCGTGTTCCGCTGCTTCGGATGCAGCGCTTCATTCTGTAAGCGGCTTTGTGCAGTTCCCAGAGCCTCCAAAACCCCTTAATTAAGGAATATTCCTTAAATCATAATTATAAGGGATCCTATTATAATTTAAGGTATATTCCTTAATTGAGGGGTTTTGGAGGCTCTGGGTTTCCTCTTGAGCAGTTAGCAGGGAGGCTTTCTGGAGCGGGAGTCGAAACGGTGCGACGTCGGGGCCTGAATAATTAGACAAGGGTTTTTTGGGTATACTTGGAAGGGCAGGGGACTTAGTAAGTAGGTTATAAGTAGGGTTATAATTGGGGTAACTCCATGTAGGGTACTTATAACTCTACTTATAACCTACTTACTAAGTCCCCTGCCCCTCCAAGTAGATCCTAAACCCTAAGCCCCATAGATCCCTTTAAGGAACCTTATAGATCCCTTTAAGGAGCCCTTACTAAGAGCCCTTACTAAGTCCCCTGCCCTTCCAAGTACTACCCTATAAGGCTCCTGTACCCTATAAGGCTCCTGGACCCTTGTACTGAGATGCCAAACCCTAGCCCCCAACACCCGAAACCCTCCCGCAGAAGGCCCAAGACCCTGTTTGGAGCTTTATTTAGGGTTTAGGGTTTAGGGTTTAGGGTATACTGTAATTATAATACGGAGCCCTAGAACAGTAGAGGTAATTGTATCAGCCCCTATGTTACGCCCACATGATCCAATAGCTGGTTGTGGTAGTCAACGTTGTTGTTGGTCGCAGAAGGAACCGTTATCCAGGCGTGTCCCAGATGGCCCCCTTTTAGCAGGCATGCTGCATGCCCAGAATAATGGAAGAAGCACCATGTTGAGATTGCACATGTGAGGTGCGGGGCTTGTTCTACGGTTGATGATATAAATCCTGCATTACCTTCAGGACCCCAAAGTACGGGAATTATGGTATATCCCTTATTATGGGTAATGCAGGATTTATAGTATCAACCGCAGGTTTCACATTTGCGGCAAAGGGGTGCAGGGCTCTTTGCTTTTTCCGGGTGGAGGCTCCGGTGGGAATTCAGGGGCTTTGCAGGGTTTTCGGCCTTGAGCGCTCCCCAGAGACTCCAATATCCCTTAATTACGGAATATTCCTTAAATCATATGAGGGATCCTATAATTTAAGGTATATTCCTTAATTAAGGGGTTTTGGAGTCTCTAGGTCCCTAAGGGTCCATGTACTCATACGGTTGATGATATAAATCCTGCATTACCTTAAAGATCCTAAACTGTGGGAATTATGGGATATTCCTTAGGGACTGCATGGATTTGGTGTCCTGAGTTATCTTGTAAGGTTCGGTTTGAGGGCTTAGCAGTACAGGCTAGGCAACGTTAGATCCTGTCTTTCCCGCTCGGCCTCCATTTCGGACTTGCACCCAAAACTAAAAGCCGTAGTACTCTAAGCCCTAATAAACTCATAAACCCTAAATTTTCCTCAACCTTAAATCCCTAAACCCTACATCCTGAATCTCTCAACTTTTGAACCTTTTGAAGCCTCATAAACCCTGCCTTAAGTCATCATGTATCAGGTTTATGAAGCCCTAAACCCTAAGCCCCAAGCCCAAGTTTTCAACCCTGCACTCTGTACGCCTTAAGGTAAAAGCCAGAAAGTTGGAATATGGTTATCCTAAACCCTTCATGGTAAACTATAAGGTATCCTAGCCTGAAACCATATACCAACTTTCTGGAGTTCCCTTAAGGGAACTCCAGAAAGTTGGAATATGGATTAATGGTAGGATCCCCTATAATTTACCTTAAAGGGGTTACGATAATGATATTCCAACTTTCTGGAGTTCCCTTTAAGCCTTCAAGTACCGGGCCGAGGTCACCACGTCTTCCACGACTACAGATATCAGTTTACTTTCCGGAACGTCCAGGACGAAACCGTTATGGAAGCCTCGACGTATGTAAGGGTTTAGGGTTTAGGGCCAAGGTCAAAGGCAGCTATCGACATTGAGCAGCTTTTGGAAGACTCGTTTCGTGGCCTCTACAATACGAAAGCCATGCGAGGTAATTAGCCGGGCAACTCTGCAGGCACAGTGTTCAATACTTCGGAACACAAACTTCAGCGCGCGGCCTTATGAGTATCATGCAACCTGAATCCTGCAACCGAAGCCGCAAGCCCAAGTGATAAAACCTGAACTCCACAGCACAACTGCAACACCCTACATCATGAACGTTTTGGGATTTGGTTCTAGGCCTTACGACCTAGGCGCGAGAAAAGCACTAGAATTGCACCTCCCACCCAACTCCGAAGCCTAAACCAACCCCCTTGAACCTTGGGCCAGACAAAGAACCAAAACTCACAGCAGCCATAAATTAAAGCAAGGCTCCAGAACGGTTCGGGTGTAGGCTTACACCTGAAGAGAGGCTTCAGATCGGTGCCTATACTTGGAAGGGCAGGGGAATTAGTAAGTAGGTTATAAGTAGGGTTATAATTGGGGTAACTCCATTTAGGTTACTTATAACTCTACGTATAACCTACTTACTAAGTTCCCTGCCCCTCCAAGTAAAGCCCACAACTCAATGCCATGATTTTGAGCGTTGTGTGCTTTAGCTTACCTTTGGTTAGTGGGGAATGGAGGAATGGGGTACAGTTCGAATTACTATTACTACCATTCCTCCATTCCCTACTAACCAAAGGTAGGATTATAGGATTATTAAGGCCCCTATACTATAGTACCCTTATAGATCACTTATAGTAACCCTTATAGGCCCCATTTTTCCGTTTTTTACTAACCAAAGGTAAGTTATAGGGTCTACGGTTTTGGTGTTAAGGTCCCTGGCGTCTAGTGGTCTTTAGACTCCAAGAAGAAACATAAGAAACGAACGCCTCCATCGATTCTTAGGTTTCTTTGAGAGGCATCCGTCAGCCAAGGGTTCAGGGTTTCGGGTTTTCTGGTGGGAGATGTGCAACTTGAGTCTAGTTCTGCGCACTTAGGATGTTTGAGGGTTCAGCTTCGGCGTGCATATAGCAGGTGAAGAATCTAACTAGGATCCCCAGTAGTACCCTTATTCCCTTTTTGTAGTCCTAGGTTCCTTATAAAGTTACCCAATACCAAAAAGAGAGGCCATTTTATTCTTAGGTTACTGGGTAACCTAGCTAAGCTCAGGCCGGGACATCAGTTTCGATCAAGAAGCAGCTAGTATAGATATCTGATAGACTCAAAAAGTGTAACCATGAAGGGTGTCACGTATCAGCACCACTGGGTTCAATAGTATTTCTGATGAGGGTTGTCTTGGGCCTTTTCAATCGTCTTGCTTGGAGGGGCAGGGGACTTAGTAAGTAGGTTATCAGTAGAGTTATAAGTACCCTAAATGGAGTTACCCCAATTACAACCCTACCTATAACCTACTTAGTCCCCTGCCCTTCCAAGTTGGCCTTTTCAATCAAGCCCGAAGTAGTCGGCGCGCAACACTTGAAGCCTTGACTGACTTTCTGCACACAGAAATCTGCCCGAAATACTGGGCACTGTTCAGACGACGAGCCCTGGACCCCGCAACCTTCGGCATGTAGCCATGTTGTTGCAGGACGTTCCAGCCGCGGTTAGCACTGTCTTGGGCTCCATGACTCCAGAAACCCACTGCGTCTGCCAATTCAACTGGCATTACCATGGTGCTCCTTTGCTCTGAATCATTCAGTTTTTGTGTGCTCTGGGTGAGGGTTAAGCGTGCGGTCTGCATCATTCATCCTACTCCATGTGAAAAAATAGCAGGCAACAAAGGCCTGGTGATGATAGGCGTATCATCGTGCGCCCCCTGTTGCGGTCCTGGGGCCCTTATCAAGGATTCGGATTTAGGGTTTAGGGGTTTAGGGTTTCACGGACAGCTGGTCCCTTTCAAGAGTCATATGGCTAGAAAAGAAGGGTATTGCTGTATGCAATAGCCCCAACACGTATCCGAATCATGTCGTTTTCTAGCTGCCGAAGCCAACCGTGAGCCTGGAGGTTTCTCGGTTTGTGCTCGGCTTGTTCATTGAACCTTCCGTTCTTTCTCCCTTGTTATTTTGTTTCGCCTTCGTGATCTCCACCGCCCCCACTGACCCGATCCTCTAAGCGCCTAAACCCTTGAAACTTAAACCCTCAACCCCACACCCAAGGCCTCTACTCCTCGCCCTGAGCTGAGGTCCGCAAAACCTACCATGTTAACGACTTATATAGACAAAACCATAATAACGAGGAGCCCCAAAAGGTAGCCTTTTTTAAGGACTTATATATACATAGGTACGCAAACCATGATAAGGACCCCCCCCCAAAAAAGGTAGGGTTTTGGGGAACTACAGGGAGCTGAGGCACCCGACTACAACCGTTTCCTTGTTACCGGCGATGAGACGCAGGATGGTCAGGTCCAGTGATCCCAGAGCCTCCAATATCCATTGTTAAGTAAGGAATATACCTTAAATTATAGTAGGATCCCTAATATGATTTGAGGAATTTTCCTGAATTAAGGGTTTTTGGAGTCTCTGGGGGTTTTAGGGTCTTTGGGGTTCAGGGGTAAAGTGCTTAGGAGTTTAGGGTTTAGGGCTGAGCCCCAGCACCCGCAGTACCAAGTCCTGATTGAGTCACAAATCCCAGAGCTTAGGACACAATCCTAAACCCTTATCACCCCAGACAGGGCTGTGGGGGTTCGTCCTGGTGGTTAGATTTTGTTTCAGGTTGCACAAAGGTAAATAAGATCTTTGCCCAAGAGCAGGAACGCAAGTCTAGCAAAAACAGATTTAGGGTTGGATTTCAGGGTTTAGGGCTCCAGGTTTAGGGCTTACGGTTTAGGATTTCAGGGTTTAGTAGGGTTTAGGGTCATATTCTCGGCCCAAATGACAGAACGCTTCAGCTTCCCTCCAGCCCTCCGGCTGTCAGAATCTCTTCAGATCAGATCAACAACAATGAACCCATAAAGCCCCATTTAGGGGTGGAGGGTGCTAGGGTTTCAGGGTTTAGGGTCATTAACCGACGCTAAGAGGAATACCTGCAGCCTATGTAGAGATCTTATCTTAGACTGATACTTTAATCCTTAATCTCGTGACTCTAAAAACCTGAGCTCTAATTCTAAATCTTATACACCAAACCTCATTTCGAAAAGCCTCACCTCCACCGCAGGCTCGTGCTGAGGAACTAAGAAGGCGGATCATGGAGCTCGAGTCATCCGGCTGTGAGAATTTCTGTTTTTTGGGGTTTAAGAGAACCCTGGCCCTACCTAGAGTCTCCATTGTAGTTTCTTTATTGTGGTTAACCAGTTTTATGGTTTGGGTCCTATAATAGAGATTTTGGTTAACCAAAAAAAGGAACTACAATGGAGACTACAGGTAAACCCTAACCCCTGAACCCTGATCCTGGACTTATAAACCCTAAACCCTGAACACTAAAGCTTCGTTTTAATTGCAGTCGTTTGTTGTATAAAGTAGGGTTTAGGATCTCGGCTTCAGGGCCATCCGGATGAGAGTCTTTGGTATTTGTAGGGTCTCACGGTTTGGGGTTTAGACTCTATGGGGGTTAGGGTTTAGGGCCAGCCGGCTGTGAGAATTGCTGTTTCGGGAGGGTCTTACAGCAGGTTGCAGAGGAAACAGGCATTGATGGGATCCACAAGGGTCCTCTTCGTTAGTGTTTCTATACGGTTTATGTGCAGCATTAAAGATGTGGGTGGTTGTCGAAATTAAGGTCCCTTTTTTGGGTACCCTGAATATTAGGTGCCGTACTATATTCGGGACCCAAAAGGTACCGGAATTTTGACAACCACCCATGTGACGTTTTTGGAGCGTTACAGGCTTGAGCCTTGAGGTTCGCAGGACCTCAGGGTTTCGACGGCATGAGTTTGAAGATTCTGGATATTTAGAGTGGGCCCTCAGGGTCCAAGTACCTAATAATCATATACTCTCCAAAATGTAACCTACATAACTACCATCCTAGAACCGAGTACCTAATTATTGATCGTCTTTCGCACGTGGCATCCTCGACAAAAAGAACTGGAATTCAGTGGCTGTATACTGGAGTGAGTCGGTACAGTGAGAACATGTGGGATCTTTCTACCGAGACCCTTCCTGTGAATCCAGACCGCGTAACCCTAAACCCAAACCGCCCTACCCCTTAAACCTCAACCCAAAACCCTAATCCCTCGACACGAAGCCCTAAGGCCCAAACCCGCAACCCCAAACCCAAACCGTAAAACCCATTACTGAAGCTCCAAACTCAAGCAAGGCAAGGCATGAGCAATGTCCAGCGTAAGCAGCGTCTCGGCACGGTTTGGGGGTTTACTTAGGGGTACTTAGAAATATTTTCTAACTTTTTTTATTATATATTCCCTAAGAAACAGCTAAAATTATAATTTTTGCTAGGGTTCTAAGTTCAGTATAGTTTAGGGCTTCTAAGGTACACAGGGTTTGCATTTGTATGGTCTTCTTTCGGAGGCGGTTCAGAGCTCAGGGCGTAGGGTTTGACTGTCTGGGCTTAGATGGTAGTGCTTGCCGGGTCCGAAGTTAGGGCCGATGAAGGGAGTCTGTAGGCTTGGGGGCCAATTGGGGCTTTCAGAGTTCGCCTGATTAGGATTCAAAAGCTATCTAACTCTCGAGTTAGGGCTCAAGTGATTTCCAATACGGTAACCCGATGTAGTTGCACCGAACAGAACGTGTTTCCAAATATGATGACACCGATTATGCACTCTTGTCGACGTTAGGAGCTGAAAGCCAGGTTCGAAGCAAATGAGCCAAGTCAAGACTGACATCCTCAGCCTCTTCAGCCACAGCCTCTCAACTTGAATGCAAGAACCAGAACCGACAAAAGCAAGTATCCCACCATTATTCTTGGGCAAGATCGTGTAGCTTGGGGCCTTAACAATTACCTACCCTATTCTTGGGGTATAGTACACCCCAAACCCCTATTCTAAACATTAAGTCCCCTATAGTACTTCTCAAGTACCACACCTCAAGCCAAGGCTGCTGATCCTACCTGTAGTTTCCATCGTAGTTCCTTTCTTTGGTTCAACCAGTTTTGTGGTTAAGATCAGATCCTATAAGGTCTTTAACCCCCCAAAAAGAAAACAACAATGCAGACTAGAGGTATACCCTATATTGTATGAGGTACCCCAAAGAAGGAACTACGGAGGAGACCAGAGTTACTTGAAGGATCATTGGGGCTTAGTAAGTAGAATTATAAGTACCACAAGTCATTAACCTTAGTGACCTTACTGATAACCCCAATTACTAAGTCCCATGATCCTTTAAGTACACTTTGGGCCCAGCCTAGTGCCTGCACGCTGCAGGAGCGATGACACAGAGCGCATGAAGGGCTACTATGCCCACAGCACGCTGTGGATACCCGGCTGAGACCCGGTTTGGGCGTTTCGGGCAGAATCGCTATGGATTTCTTTTGGATGTAGCTCTTGGAGTCACGGTATGTTATACTTGTTCATTGGGACTTGAGTAATTGCAAGACTCTGCATGCAAAGATGCCAGGCACTTAAAGTTCCTATAGTCGTAGAGAAGGTAAAAAGCCCTCCCTCTCTGTTCACCACTCCCTGCCCGAACCAGCCTGGTTGGCGTGAAGCGGTGAAAGCCAGGGGTGCTCCTCGTGCAAGAAATCTTTGAGGATATCCCCCCGCCTTCTGACTTAAAGACAAGAGCAAGAAGTTTATAGATCTGTTGAGCCCTGTTTTTGTCCCGAAAACGAAACCACCAAATCAATTATGAGTCCGATCCTGCTTCTTCGCTTTGTGACCGTCGAGGAACACTGGCTTCAAGAAGGGCCCTGCGGAGAAGTGAGCCGGTTTAGGATCCGCAGTGCAGTTAAGGGTGCGCATGTAGGGATTCCCTAAACCCCGAACCCTAAACCCAAACGCTAAACCATGAACCCCAGGCTGTTAAATAAGGGTTCAACGGTTGATGATATAATCCTGCATTACCCATAATAAGGAACATCCCATAATTCCCACAGTTTAGGGTCTTTAAGGTAATGCAGGATTTATATCAGCAACAGAAGGAGTAGGAAAAACAGCTCGACACATCCCCGAACATCTCAGCAACTTCGGTCCTCGGTGGGAAGAGCTCCCGCGACTGTACCCTAAGGGTCCATGTACCCAAATAGTATATACTTTGGGCGCAATGTACCCATATAGGGAGTACTTTAAGGCCAAAGTATCTACTATATGGGTACATGAACCCTTAGGGGTAAGGTGTAGGGTTAAGGGTTTAGGGTTGAGCAAATAGATCACAACTTGTTCATGTCTCACCCGCCGTTACGCCTGGAGGTGCCTGTGCTGAAGTCACAAATATCCCACGCCGGGCAGGGTTTCGTGCTGAGGGATATCAAGCACTTTTGTTTGACGGCATTAGTGCTTATTTGCGGAGGTTGTTTTGTTCAACATCTGCCTGCCGTCACAAGGAGTGTCCTTTAAGGGCAGTTGTAGAATTCCAGCAGCGATTCGTGGAAACTCATAGGGATCGTCAATGCGTGTGTTAATTCACCAGCTTATTGAAACCACTCACCACCTTGCCCCTAGACAGCTGACACATCAAACCCTAAGGGTCCATGTACTCATACAGCATATACATTGACCTTAAAGTACTCCCTATATAGGTACATTGGGCCCAAAGTATATACTATTTGGGCACATGGACCCTTAGGGACAAGTGAGCATCAGGGCCT